ACAGAACAGAGATAACCTGAATCACAAAGGAAGTTTCTTTTTGCATTGCTAATGGAGTTTACATTTTATTTTCCTGGACTTTACAACTCTTTGTCTCCCAGAGCCTGCATGACCAAGGTGGAGGAATGGCCTCAGCCTAGATGGATATCTCTCTGTACCATCTTAAATGAGAACAGCTATAACAACATCTTGACAAAATGTAGGCCTGTGACTCTAACATCGTCATATTATCTTTATGATATTTAACACCTTTGCTTGATGAAGAAGCCTGTGGAGCTTTGAAAGCTTGCATCGTGTATTTTGTGCATTTTGGTTGGACCAATAAAGGTATCACTGTTTTGTGGATTGTGGATGCTATTGTACTTTACTGCATGGCCAATATGGCTACCCCTGAATAGATCTACTGTCTCTAGCCATTCAAAACAAAGATGGGATGTTTTGCAGGGGAACGCAGGCGAAAAATACCCCCAAAGGTACCCCGTATTTTGCAGACATCTTCATCCACACTTCCCATTGCATTGCCTGAGGACTGAGCCAAAAGAACAAGAAGCTGCTGTTTTCATTTGCTCGGGGATGATGGGCACACAGAAAGCCAGGTGGCTAATTTTAGAAGCAACCTTTATTCAGGGCAGATTAACTTCATAAACAAAATGTATTTAGGTCAGATTGATTTAAGAAACACACATGTTAGATTTTGGGCTCATCATATGATTTTTTCCATGGTTTTGTTATTTCAGTTTTTAAACACCATATTGTTCGGAGGAAATGCAGGCTCAAAGAATTCAGTAATAATGCTGATTTTTTAAGGAAAAAAAATCCCAACAGTTCCTGATAGTGGGAAAGCAGGTTTTGAATGACATAGTTGTGAAAAAGCATAGAACCATAGAGTTGGAAGAGACCCCAAGGGCCATCCAGTCGAACCCCATTCTGCCATGCAGGAACTCACAATCAAAGCATCCCCAACAGATGCCCATCCAGCCTCTGTTTAAAGATCTCCAAAGAAGGAGACTCTGAGGGAGTGTTTCCACTCCATGTGTTCCACAAATGGTTTCTTCACAACGAGGGAAGAAAGACTATATTCAGTGGGGTTAACTGTGACAAATGGATGCACACAACTAGTTTAATATAACAAGTTCAAATCAAGAATGAACCCAGATTGTATGCCCTTGAAAGACAGAGCCTGAAAAAGTTACTTTTCTGGACCACAACTCCCCGAGAACTCAGTGGTTGTGTTGAATCCTGGCATATCTTGGGAATTGTGGTCTCCATCAAAAAAGGAACTCTTCCAAAGCTCCGAGCATGCTATTTATTATAGATATTACCTGCAACAAGTTCAAGTTTTTCTCCAGGATCTCCTTCTGAGTAGAGTTTTGGATGGCACCGATATCCGATCTGACTGATAAGACTGGCCGGGAGGGCGACTAAGTCACGGCGGATGAGGACGCATGACCGGCTTTCTAAAGGAACCTGCTCCGGCTTCTCTTGAGGCACTTGGGAAGAAAGGAAAGCAAGGAGGAAAAGGGTTAAAGCAGGAGTTGGTGGCTTCATAGGGTTGTGGTTGCTCCTATGATGTTGTGACTAGCAAACGGGTTAAACGTGGGATAGATGGAAACACTGTCAGATGAATCCATAGTTGGTCGGCAAACCTTGTACAAAGAATCATCATAAATGGCTGCGTTTCAAGCTGGAGCGAAGTCTCAAGCAGAGAGAGCCATGACACTTCAATGTTTTTACCAATGACTTAGATCAGGGGTAGGCAACCTTTTCCCTTTAAGGGCCGAGGGACTTCAGCTCCCAGAAGCCTCAGCCATGTTGGCCAATAGTCCCATGTTGGCCAATAGCTCCTGGGATTCTGGGAGCTGAAGTCCCTCGGCCCTTAAAGGGGAAAGGTTGCATACCCTTGACTTAGATGATCATAGAATCATAGAGTTGGATGAGACCCCAAAGGTCATCCAGTCCAACCCCCTGCCATGCAGGAACTCAAAATCAAAGCAACCCCAACAGATGGCCATCCAGAGTCTGTTTAAAGACCTCCAAAGAAGGAAATGGAGTAGAGGGAATCCTTTTGTTTTCCGATCTATCTATCTATCTATCTATCTATCTATCTATCTATCTATCTATTTTTATATATACAGTTGGTCCTTTGTATCCACAGATTCTTTATCCACAGTTTCAAGCATCCACTGCTTGAAAATATATTTAAAACATATAGATTCCAACTAGCAAACCTTGATTTTGCCATTTTATATAAGGGACACTATTTTCACTATGCTATTGTATTTAATGGGACTTGAGCATCCACTGATATTGGTATCCATGGAGAGTCCAGAAACCAAATTCCAGCAGATAACAAGGGCCCATTATATATAGATTAATATAGACAGTATAATTCAACATCAACATGCAGAAACATTCAGAAAGAAAGATAAAAGGAAAAGTAAAAAAATGATAACCATACATTATTGTTGTTGTGCGCTTTCTAGGTATTTCTGACTCATGGTAACCCTAAGGCAAGAGCAGGGTTCAAACCCCGCTTGACCATGAAAACCAACTGGGTGGCCTTGGATAAGTCACACTCTCTCAGCCTCAGAAGAAGGCAATGACAAACCCACTCTAAACAAACCTTGCCAAGAAAATCCCATGGCAGGATCACCTTAGTCACAAATGACCTGAAAGTACACAGCAACAAACAAGAAAGGTGAACCTATCATATAGGAATTTCTGGGGCTGAGAGAGTGTGATTCACCCAAGGTCACCCAGTAGTTTTCTGTGGCTGAGTGGGGAATCGAACCCTGGTCTTCAGGGTCGTAGTCCAATACTCAAACCACTACATCACGCTGCCTCTTGACCCTACATAAAAATACATATAAATAAAACTCCAGGTGAGATCAGACTAAAGCTGAGTAGAGTGGTATTATTACATCCCTTATCTGGATACTTTACTTCTGTTGATGCAATCCAGAATTGCATTAGCCTTTTTGACAGCTGCACTGCATTGTTGACTCATGTCAAGCTTGTGGTCTACTAAGACCCATGGATCCTTTTCAAATTTATTGTTGTCGACTCAGATGTCAAAAAGGACAATTGGACAAACTATTCATGGAACAAAAGCAAGGCTTGAATGTGAACTTATTATTACAATTAAAAATATTAAATCTGGAAAAGCACCAGGTCCAGATGGACCACTGGTAGCATATGGCAAGAAATTTGAAGATGAGCTATTTTAACTATTAAAAACAGTGTGAGATGCGTTATTAGAAAAAAGGCAGATGCCAGATTCTGGGAGAAATGTCTGTATTACGGTGGTTCGTAAAGAAAATACAGATGAGACATTAACAAAGAATTATAGACCTATCTCACTGCTGGATAATGTCTATAGAAAATAATATCAAGAATAATGATATTTACTACCCATCATGGCAAGCAGATTGAGAAGACACATTTCTCAGATTATCCATAGCGATCAGAACAGTTTTTGTCAAAAAAGACAATTAAGGAATTATGTAAAAACTGTTCTCAATATTACTCAATTTTTGGAACATCATAATGACAAAAAGACAATTTTGATTTTTTTAGCTGCATCTGTGGCTATGGTTATTATGTAATTTTAGCATAACTACTTAGTTGTATCTGTAATGGAGTAGAATAATATTTTCTTCCTCTTTTTTTGTTTTTCTTTGCAATCAGGATTTGAGGGAATCAGAGCCCTACTGTGTATTAGTTGTATGTAATTTCCCCCCTTTTCCTTCTTCTTTTCCCTCTTCTTTTTCTCTTATCCTTCCTTCTTCCCCCTCTAGTTTCTTTATCTTTCATTATACAGGTTAAGTCTCCTTTATCCGAAATGCTTGGGACCAGAAGTATTTTGGATTTCAGATTTTGTTGGGATTTTGGAATATCTGTATATTCTTGGAGATGAGACTCAAGTATAAACAAGAAATTGATTGTGTTTTATATACATCTTATACATACAGCCTGAAGGTAATTTTATACACATTTTAAATAATTTTGTGCATGAAACAAAGGTTGTGTACATTGGCCCATCAATAAGCAAAGGTGTCGCTATCTCAGCCAACCATTTTGGATTTTGGAATTCCAGATAAGGGAGACTCAACTTGTATATTACTTTTTATTGTAATTTAGATTGTTTATGTTAAAAAGTAATACAAAATGATAATAATAATAATAATAATAATAATAATAATAATAATAATAATAATAAAATTTATTTATATCCCACCTTTAGCCAAGGCTATCAAGGTGGCTTACAATTAAAATACAATCTCATACAATTATAGTAGAACATATAACTCCCGTTAAAAATATATTAAATCATTATCAACATTAAAATTGGCTTAAAACAAGGCAACAAGTCATTACTATTAAATGGCCGACACTCTGATGGTCTGATGGCGGGGGAGTGATGATAATGATGATGATGATGATGATGATGATTTAGAAAGGTTACCATGTAATTTAGTAAGAATGATAAAGAGTCTTGCAGATCTTCACAATTAAAGGTTTATTGGGCACAAATCTTCAATAGGTTGCTGTTGTTTCAAACAAAAATCCATCAGTGATACCTTTGTTGGCCAACCAAAATGCACAATATACTTGTTGCAAGCAAAGCTTGCAACAAGTATATTGTGCATTTTGGTTGGCCAACAAAGGTATCACTGATGGATTTTTGCTTGCATTTGCTATATGGCCAACACAGCTACCCATGAATGTTTTCAGGTTGTTGTAGTTGTGTGCTGTCAAGTCATTGCTGACTTATCACAAACCTGGGCGAACCTATAATGGGGTTTTCTGGGCAAGTTTGTTCAGAGGAGTTTGCCATTGCCATCCCCTGAGGCTGAGACAGTGTATCTATCCCAGTGGGTTCCATGGCCAAGCTAAGAATCGAACCCTGGTCTCTAGAGTCATAGTCCAACGCTCAAACCACACAAGGTCACCCTTCAACAGGTACAATGTCCAAAACAACCCAACAACCTGGCCAACAGGACCTGCCACCCAAATCCAGGGATGATCCATGCTATAGTCCAGTGATTCCCAAACTTGGATCTTCCAGATGTTTGTCACTTCAGCTCCCAGAATCCCTGGGTGGCTTGGGATTCTGGGAGCTGGAGTCCACAATAGCTGGAGGAGCAAAGTTTGGGAACTAATGCTATAGTCAACAGGAGAAGAAACTAATGCACTACAGACAATAGGATCGTCGGTATCAGAGTCTAGCTCCTTTTAGTTTAATATCAACCACCAATACCTTAAGACTTAAGTCAATATCATATTAACTAAAGTCAATCCTAGCACATTTGTTGGCGTTTGCTGTCAAGTCAACTTTGACTTATGATGACCCTATGATTGGGAAACCTCCAAGCGTCCCAGTCATTGGGAATCCTGTTCAGGTTTTGCAGATTCAAGGCAGCCATGGCTTCCTAGATGGAGTCTTCAAAGATACAGTCTGTAGGATCAGTATGTAGAAAGATCTTGTAGCACTTTTGAGTCCCAATGCATCTGAGGAAGTAGACTGAAG